TGAGCTTCCAGGCAGAAGAAAAAATAGAAAAAAAAAGAATAGAAAATAGAAAAAGTAGAAGAAGAAAAGTGCATAAATCTGGAGAGAGTATGGAATGCAAAATTATGCACACACACGGCGAGTGTGAAAAATAAGGAAAATCCAAGAGAATGCCAGCCAGCTGACGCTGAAAAGCTTAATAGCCTGCTGCTCAGCCCCTTCCTCCTCCCAGGCACTTGTCCTCGCCCCTTGTGGCTGCCACAGATGTCTATGTTGCTGCCACATTTAAATAGAAATTAAAAAACAATTAAAGATGCCAGTCGCTGAGCTGCCGCCGTCATCCGAAAAATAATTAAGCGCATAATTATTTAATTAGAATTAGAAAAAGGGGGGTAGCTAGTAGCAGTTACAAGGAAATGCCTCATAAGCCATAAAATAAGAGTCTGAAAGAGGAGGAAGGCGAGAGCATGGGTATTGGAAATGCTGGCGATATGAAAATTAATAGACGCACTTCCCAAGTGGCAGGAAGAACAGGAAAGTGGCAGGGAGGCGGTGAGGAGGACTTGAAGTGTCGTGTGAATGGGTGTACCCCCCCATAGCCACGCCATGCCACACCATACCACACCATACCATACCATGCCATGCCAGGGGCGACAGCATCCAGACACTTTACCGAATGCCGGCGCCAGCATCAGACAGAGAGAGAGAGAGAGAGAGATGGGTAAACAGACAATGAAAGAGATAGCTAGACATGGCAACGTGGCGTATGCTTGATATTTGAGCAAGGATTCGAGTATTCGAGTGGAACTTGCAACAGATTTCAGCCTCAACTGTCAAAACATTAAAAACTCAACTCCCTTCGGTCTCTTAGTCCCCAAAAATTTAAATACCATAGTTTTCGTTTAAGCCAAAGGACTTGGGATATACCAAGAAGGATACACTACCATCAGCCCACACTCATCCGCATCCGCCCTCTTCCCTCTTCCCATTTCCCATTTGTTGTTATTATTAATTTTATGCGCCATATAAACGGTGAAAGGACCCTAAAATTTCACCAAAAGCCCCAAAGCAGCGTCGAAGTAAACAAAAGCCTCCCAAAATGTCGCACCATTGGCCACAACAACAACAACAACAACAGAACCAGTCAAAAGGCCAACAAAAACAGTCAAGAAAAATATGTATTAAACAAAAAAATGGTTACTGTGCGGCAGAAACATATTAAGAAAGGGCCCCAAGACCCGGCCAGGCGACAAAAATAACAAAGAGTCCTTGCCATTAAAAATTATGTTGTTAAAAATCGATCGTTAAAAATTAATTATCTAAAAGGGAAAGTTTAAAAAAAAAGTATTAGCTCTTAATATTTTAATTTTCTTAACTTTTGAGGTTTTTAAGATGGAGTTTATAGGCATGGAACTGGGAAAGGTTGAGAGCCTCTTTTGGGGAGTTTTTGGAAGCTTCTTTTAAAGGACTTGAGTCCTGAAATCTGGGGACAAGTGAAAAGCAATACATTTTACTATAATGTAGTTTAATATAGTATTATATAGAGTCTATATTAATATTATAGAACATTATAAAGATATTACTATTATATATACATATATATATTCTATTCGGAAAGCTACTGCATATTCCAGGGATTGAAGCCCAAGCTTAAAATTCAAATAAATTAAATAAAATTAATAAATAATCGGATTATCATACATATATCATTGTATACCATCATTATAACCTAATATATCATCATAGTAACTTTAAATCATAATACTTTTTATCAAAAAAACTTGCTTTTCAAGGTAATTTGTTTTAATATTTGTTAGACATTTTTGAGAAACTTTTAGAAATATTTTTTAGTACCATTTTAGATGTATAATGATGTATAATCTTGATTATAATAATCTTGATAATACCTCCCTCAAAACTATATCCTCCACTTTTGTCGCCTGACCGCCTTTGGGCCATGTGTGTAAGCCTTAATGCCCTCTCTCTATGTGTGTGTGTGTTTTGTGGTCCACAACATTGTCATTGGCATTGACTTGGTCCTGTTTCGGGTCTGGGTACTGGGTACTGGGTCTTCGGTCTTGCCCAGACTTTGGTCCTGTTTTTCGGGTCCTGGTCGACGTCATATTGTGTTTGGCAAATCGTTTGCGATAAAGCCAACTACATAATGTCTCTGTAGGCCACGTTAAGGCCAAAAACGAGTCAGCAGCAGCAGCAGACGGGGAAGGAGGAGGAGGGACATAAAAATGCTAAACCAGCGCTATGTTGGCGTCTCAGCGACGCACAAACCAAATACCGAAATACACAAATACCGAATACGACGGAGAAAAAAAATACCAATTTCCAAATCCACACAGCCCTCCTCCCATTGCCTCGCATATGTGGGCCTTCGGGATAATGCGCGTTATCCTTGATTGCCCGCCTCGATATTGGGCCAGTTTCAGGCAGAGTCATGGGCAGGATGATGGGCTATGGGCTGGGGCTATGGTTAGTCGGCAAACAAGCCGCTTAAACTTTCCTCACGCTTCACCATTCCTGGCCACAAATCTTGATACTTTTTTTTGGGGGAAATAATATCCAAATGGGGTCACTAGATTGAAAGGTAAAGCTAGGGACAAGAGATTAGATATAATATTCTTAAACTAAAGTCAGAAAATAATATCATATTAGTTGTTGTTAAAGTTTACATTCAAGTATTCAAAATAACTTGCTCGTAAGTTGAAGATTTCTTTAGAAAAAAAATACTAAAAATACTATACAACCTATAGCTGGTAATAAAAATGGCCATAAAAAGAAATATAAAGCTAGATACATCCTATTCTGGTCTCCCACATATACACAAATATTTTAAATACTTTTTTTAATTTTGTTTACAAAGTTTACATTTTCTTGAGAAAGCGTATTCGGGTGTTCGGTTTTCTTGGAAAATCACAGTCTCCCCCTTGATTGTTTCACTTTTCTGTCTTTTGAAAGTCAGCTCCGTATCATGATGTGGCCCTTTTTCTTTCCTCATTTTTTGCTGGAGGCTTCCCTTCCTGAGGCTTCTGATTCCTTGGATCCTGAATCCTGATTCCTTGGCTTTGTGCTTTTATGCTCATCATCATCATTTTGCAGAAATCGCAACTGAATCTGATTTTTGCCTTTTCTCTCGACGGCTAATTGGTTCCCAACTGCCCGCCCGGCAGTCGGAATGATTTGGCCCCAAAAGGGGTGTGGGGGCCTCATAGTCGTATAGGGGGGTGGTGGTAGGCAACTAGCTAAACAACAATTTTAATTGCGACCAGGCCAAGTCAACGTCTGGGACTCGCACTGCCACTCGCACTCGGACTCGGGCCAAAGGCAAATGAGCGAGCGAGCGAGGGAGGTAGGGAGCGCTCCAAGAAATATGAACGAGGTCAATGATTGTTTACACTACCCTCGAATGCTGTTTACTTCGAGGGGGGCGAGAAAGGGGCAGGCAGGGGGAGAAGTGCTGGGGCAGTGGGTGGAGCGGGGGGTACAAAGTTGAAGGGGGCAAGGGGCTGAGAGCTATAGCTACCGTGTGTACAGTACAGTGGTTCGATTCTGTCGGTAATTTAAGGTATTAATTTTTACTAAAATAGCTGGATAGCTGAATTGTATAACAGTATGATGGTATGATAGTATGATGGAATGTATGATGGTATGAATGATGGTATGTAGGATGTATGGTATGTTAGAATGATGGTAAGACAGAATATTGGAATGAAGATATGATTGTATCATAGTATGTCGGTAAGCTAATATAATGGTATAATAAGACTATGGAATGTAATTATGATGATTCGATAGTATAATGGTAAGAAAGCATGATGGAATGAAGGTAAGATTGCATCATAGCATCATATAATAGTATGATAATAAAAGTATGATAAAAGATGGTATGTTTGTATGATGGTATCGTAGTAAATGGAACGATAGTACGATGGTATGTTAGAATGATGATATTAAATATTGAAATATTAAATGGCATGGTATATTATGAAAGCTATGCAAAATATATGATAGTATGTTAGTATTCAGTATGATGGTACGACAGTATGATAGTATGATGGTATGCTAATATGATGGTATGATAGCATAATGATTCAAAAGTATGCTAGTATGATGCTAGTACTAGTAGTAGTACACTAGCTAGTAGTACATACTATGCTAGTATGATGGTAGCCTAGAATGAATGAATTATATAATGGTACTAAAATGATAGCATGATTGTTTAGGATGGTTTGGGATGAAAGTATGGTGATATATTGGTATGCAAGTGTGATGTATACCAGTATAATAGTATGATAGGATGATGATATGATGTTATGATTGTATGATGGTATGGTAGGATAACGGTAGGATAGTAAGAAGGTATGCTCATATGATGTTATGGTATGATGGTATACGATAGTATAGGTACTTCATTTAAGACAAGATACAGTATTAGAAACACTATATCATGCAATATTCTTTTATTTTGAACTAAAAAATATATAAAAATATATTAAAATACATAAGAAACTCCCAAAAAACACAATAAAATCCTAAAACCCCCCAAAAACCTAAAATTTCAACCCAAAAACATTAGCTTCCAAACCACTGTCTTCGCAGCCATTAGGCCTCGTGGCTATAATGTTTGTACATGTCTTCCAAAGGTGCATAGCTACACATGTATATGAGTCAGAGAAGGAGACAGCAGTACAGCTAAGAGGGAGATAGAGAGAGCTCCAAGAGGACCTCCACTTGGCCTCCACTTTGCCAGATTCTCCGGTTGAAGCCAACTGTTTAAATTGGCAGAAAAACAAAAAAAAGAAGTAAAGAGAATACTAAGTAGGCTCTCAGGACTCTCAGGACTTCTTGATAAAGTGCTTATAATTAGAAAAGACTAAAATAAAATTACAGAATAAATATTAAAATTAAAATAAGGATTCGGTATACTGGAGGTTCTAGTTTCCCAAAACAAGTATTCCTTGATCCCCAAATGTCAAATTTTGAAATTGTCATGGCCCTGGGCTGTGTAACATTGCCTCAGTCTATTTCCATTTTTCTACTCGTTCGGGTCACACTGATCAGCTTCGAAAAAAATCATCGAAATTGTGTAAAATTATTGCAGGAAATATTATTTTTTCAAAAAGGGACATATATATTTGAATTTAAAATACTAAGGGAATGAAAATAGACAGGAATTTCGCGTGATTTTCGAACAATAGACATAAGAGGTAAGAATAGAAATAAAATTCAAATAAAATTCAAATAAAATTCAAAAAAAAAAATTAAAATAATATTGAAAATAAAATAGAATTGGAATTAGAATATTAGAAGAAAATAAATTATGGATCATTGGAGGTTTCGATTTGTTGAAGTCACCCGGGACGAACACGAGTCCTGGATTGTCTTCTTCGTGTGTCTGATAGTGCACTGGACTCAGTGGCATGCTCGCGTGGGACCACCGCCACCGCCCTTGGTGCAGCAACCCAGTGACCTGGACATGTTCACCTACGAGCCGGTCTGGGCCGATGTCTTCTTTTGTGCGGCCTTCCTTTGCTTCATCTTGCCGTACCGATACATGTGGGCCATTCGCTATCGCCAAAAGATACGATTCTTTTTGATCTTGCTGGAGATCCTGATCCTCATCCATTTATTGGAGTGGTTCAATCGCACCATCTGGCAGCCGGTCATGGGGGTCTTCGATGCCGTCCAGCAGCTTACGTTCCTGTACATCGAGGAGTCATGCGAGCACTGGCGTTTGGTGCCCGGCCTGTTCAACTGGTTGGTTGCGAACGGGCCCCAAGTTTTCCGGCTGATGGCCTCGGTTGTGTGCCTCTTCACGGCTATGGAGACGGCGGGAAAAAATTGGATTCGCTATATCGTGTACCTGGAGCGGATCTGGGTACCAGAGGGCCAAAACCAGAGGCCTGCTCGCCACTGCAGCTTCAAAATCTCGAACTATCGCCGCAACATGTACAACAATTCGCCACATTTCACAAATACGCGACGCTACTGTCGGGCTTGCATGGCGGAGATGAAGTGAGGGATACTAAAGACCACAGTCGCTATCAGAGAATTAGACCAAAAACCGGGGCATACACTAATAACACAGAACACTGGCATCCCACTGGGACCCATCGGTTGGAGGAGCTTTTTGTGGGGGGAGCTCTTTCCAATACGATGTTTAAATTGCAACACTTGCATGGTACACCCAAGCCCCAAAGTTATCAATAAAGTTGTTTTTGGTCTTTATTTTAATTTATTTATTAATTTATGTTAGGATTTATTTTTAATTTTGAAGATTTAAGGTCTATATTTTGACAGTTAGGAGAAAGGCTAGCTTAGATGGGAATTTTGACCTTCAAGTCTCGGTTTTCGGAGCTGAATTTCTAAACCAAAAGTTAGTGTTTTGTCATGAATATATTTTGAGATGAATTCATAAAGAATCTTTGAGTTTTTTTTTCCTTTTTTTTAATTCAAAAATATTTTTTTTTGAGGGTTAATAGATCTATTGTACTCTACAAGTCTAGTAGCCTAAGATTTTTACTTATTTTTTCAAAAATTTAAATAGAAAGACTTACAAAATATGAGATAAAGATATGTTTTGTTATATTGTTATATAGAAATAATAATATAATATAATAGATATAATAATGGAAGGTGAGAATAAGTTGTAGTTCCTAGTCATTAGGAATAGATTATGAGTAGTAGCTAGTACCATAACATTATCATAGAAACTATGGATCTATTCCATAGCTTACTAGAGAGATAGTGAAACTTCTAAGCCATATGTATTATATTATATTTTAAAAAGACCTATACAGTAACTATTTCACATAAATTGTTCAGTATTTCGAAGAAAACTTTAAAGTGAACCACTATAGAACCACCGAAGTATAGATACCTCTAGATAATACCTCTTTAATGTTGTTAGAAACTAATGAAACTTCTTGTACATGTATATTATAACCTCAAACCCCTATTAAGCTACTATTTAGTATACATTTTAAAGTATTTGCAAGTAAAATTTGAACCTAATATGTATAGAACCACCTAATTATAGATAACTCTAAGAATGAACCCTTAAACATCGTTAGGAACTAATGAAACTTCCTGTAAATATGTATTATAGCCCCCAAAGACCTAGTAAGTTATTATATCTCCCGATTTTCAAATATTTACATAAAGTTTACACAAACATATGCCAAAAAGCCCTAAGGGACATGCTCCCACAACAAGTGATATAATGAGAGGGCTTTTCGGAAATAAAATGAAACTTTTGGCAAAAAACCCCTCCAGGGCCTGGACGTGCCTATCTGCCTAATTATGAGAAACTGATTGGATATCAAGAGGCCATATATACATATGAGAAATATATATAGGCACCCCCCCACAACCACATACCTTTCACACATTCCGTTTGCGGTTTAAATCCTTGACTATTGTTGGCTCTTGTTGTTGTAGTTTTTGGGGGAAGGCGGTCGATTCCACGTAATCGACAGATTAAACGTAATTATAAATGTAATTCAAACACAAACAGCCACGGATACTAGCACACAGATACACACATGCACACTCAGAGGCCACTCTCATAGATACAATGCTGAGGCTGTTGAGGAAAGTTTTCGACTTGGCGGCTTCAAAAAACGAAACGTAGTGGCGGTAGAAAGTGCGAGGAAATAGCTTTAAAAATATTCACAAAAAAAAACAACAAAAACTTGAGAAAAAAATTAAAGAAAAACGCAAAAAAAAAAAAGGAAAGAAAATCAAAATAAACAAATAAGAAACCGAATTGAAGAACGCGACGCGCTTGGTGGCAAGTTGAACATGCAACTTGTGCGAATGGCAATCGAATGCCAAACACAACCAACAAATTCCCTGGGTCTCAGTCGCTGCTTCTGCCTCTGTCGCTGCCTCTGCCTCTGCCTCAGTCGACGTCGACAGCGACAGCAACAATTGAGCAATTGAAGAATTTACTTTGCATTTCTTGCAGGTGCCGCCTGTCGCGGTTCGGCGCTGACTAATTATTTATCTTTGAGGCTCTTCGCGCCTCACAATCCATCTTACAATCTATCTATCTATCTATCTATTAGTCTTCCTCTAAATATAGTAAATAATAAAAATTCCGCCGAAAAAAATAACAAAAAAAAAAGAGGAAGAGCATTAAAAAAAACAATTGAAAGTAAACGGCAAGCAAATAAACAATAAATAGCAGATACGGATACAAAATTCAGATACAAAATGTATCTCAGATGTCGAGAGATCAAAGATACAATGAAAATCTCTAGACATTTTAGCCATATATTTTAAATACATTTAAAACAAAAAAAAATTGAAAAATAAAATAGTTTTGGGGTGGATCAATTAACTAACCAACTAATTGTTACTCTTTCTTTGAACTCGACTATCACTTAAATAAAATATATATTATTAGAAAATACTTTCGAAAAAAAACCCTTTTTTTATTATTACTCAAATATGTTTCTAAAGTTTTCATTAATATTAGTATAGATTTTATGTTATCTTATGGCTTTGATTTCTTCCAACGCTGCCTTTTAAATGATATTTTCATATAAAAAATGACAGTTTTTTAAAAGGAAATGTTTAAATATATTTTTAATATGTTTTTAAAAAACTCGAAAAAAATTCAAAATTAAAGCTTTTTGAACCTGTTTCTTACATAAACCTCTTCAAAACTGTTTAATTCAAAAACAGGAAAACATTAAATAAAATAAGATCTCCAGTAAAAATTCAACAAAAAGATTGAACATTAATTTTCTTCTTTAAAAAATATGTTTTTTAACTTCTTTTGAAAATGCTTTTATAGATTTTTCAAACTTTATGGCCTTTTTAAACTACAAACTATGATTTTAAAAGAATATTTGCATACTACTTACACGTTTCTTAACCCACATATGTTTTGAACCTCTTTCTAAAATATTTAAACATGTTTAAAACAAAGCTCTACTTTGTCTCATTTTTCCATTCAACTATGCTCTTTTTTGTTTCAAATAATTCCCAAAATCATATTTAAAAATACAAAAATTTCCCTGACTCTGCAGAAAAAAACAGCCACACCTTTAAATTGTAATATTGTAAACAAAAGTTATAAACAATTTGTAGAATTATATTTTACTTTTCTGGGAAGCATTAAAAAAAAGCAACTAAAAATCTTTGCTATAAATATTTTTCCTCACTATTTATGAAAAGCTATACATACAAATACATATGTATGTCTAATTAATCAGCTTAATGTTGTGTGATCTTTAATTATTGCCTAAACATTTACATTATATATTTTAAAAGGGGTGGTATCTATCTTTATTATAGATAGATAGATACTTTGTTGGCATTTTGGGCTATTTTTGTATCTGTTGGATTTCGCCTGCTTAGATCCAATTTAAAATCAATTAGCGGAGAGTGCTCATCTTAAAGTACTCATTGTCGGATTGACGGATCGGTAATCAAGTGGTACGTATCGGTACCGGTGCCTGGTCCACTCCCCTCCCCTCTTGTATTTCCCATTTCAATTGCAATTCTCCAAAGTTTCCGGCGTTTGGCAATTTCGAACGCGCAAAGAATAAATTCGCAATTACGTACATAGGAGGCGGTTTTAATGGGGTGGCGCACCTACAAGGGGGGGAGGCTATTTGGGTGGTTCGGTTGTTTGAAGGGAGCCACTGCGTCATCGACGCCAACGTCGGCAGCAACGTCGACCTGACTCACTCTTTTTTTTTTTTTTTCTTATTTTTCTATTTTGACCGTTTGGCCGAAAAAAGCATCGAATTCGAATCCGAAACGAGCCAATTATAATTACTGTTTATTTATTCAAGTTGGATAGGTCAGGGGCTAGGGCGGGGAGCGGTTTTCAGGGGGGAGGTGTTCCAAGGGGGGAGTCTGATAAGAAACATATAAAATATATATTATTTTGGTTTAGGATTATTTTCAGTTTTATTTTTATTAATATCAGATTGTTGGTATTTTTTCGAAAAGGGTTTATGGTGTAGTTTTTAGGAGTTAAATATGTGTATTTCCTATTAAAAAAAAAAAGAGGCTCATAGCTTGAAAAATATGTTATAGATTTTAAAACCCTTAAACTAAAAATAAAATGTTTGTTTTCATGAGAAATTTCTTGAAAAATGACGCAAAAACAAGCAACTATAAGATATCCGGTACTTGGTCTTAAATGTTGTGTTTAAAAAGGGGAAAAAAATAAGATTTAAGTTTTAAAATGAATAAAGTTATACATTTTCTCATAAATGTTCACCAAAAATTTGAGGAAGAAAAAATTCGTAACTACACACCCCTCAGAAAAATTTTTTATTTAATTTAATATTTGCATAGACTCCCCCCTTTAATGTAAAACTGTTAATTCGAATGCTGCTCACTTGCGTGCCATTGTTTTCGCCAGTTTGTTTGCTTATTGTGTTCTTTTATTTTTTTTTGTATTTTTCAAATTTTCTCTTTATATTTTTTTTTCTACTTGTTTTTTTTTTTTTTTTATTTAGCAATAAAGCGAATATTGTATAGATACTTTGAAAAACAGATACGGTTATTCGGGATCTGATGCAGCTGCAGATACAGAATCTATTTCGGTTTTTAATCTGGCAGCCTTTCATTATAAATAGTTGTTGGGACTGCCTAGATAAACACACCAAGTAGTCGACGTCAGCGATTCTTCTGCTAGCATTGACTGCGCTACTATGTAGATATGTACTCTACGTATCCGTAACCGTAACCGTAACCATGTCCGTATCCGTGTCCGTGTCCTCAGTTCGCATCTGTGAGATACATTCATTGCTAATTCATATCCAATTTCCAACAGAGCCGCGACACGCACACCAGAAAACCACAAAAAGTAATCAAAAATTCGTCGACCAGCCGACAAGCCCACGAAATAGGGAAAATGGAAATTATCAAATGTCAACACTTGCCGAGTGGAATTATGAAAAATTAAAGCCAGGGAAGCCCACACCAAACCAGACCCAAATAGAATTGGCCAAGTGGTTCAAGTTCAGTTTAGGGAGCGGTTAGGGGGGGCGTTCTATTTTTGGCAATTTTTGGGCTTTTGCGAATTTTTAAATGGTTGTGGGTAAACTATTTCAAAAGGAAAGTGGGACATTTTATACTTTTAAAGTTAAGGTAGATACTTAAGTGTATCATTATTTAATGATATTTATGTTAAATTTTTAAATTTTTAAATTTTAAAAAAATTTAAGCAAAAAAAGAAAGCGAACTTTTATGACATAAACTTGCGGATATTTATCGCAAAAAAAAATAATAAAAATAAGAAAACAGAACGAATATCATAAAAAAAACTAGGTTAGAATATCCAACCTTGGTATACTTGGTAAGCATTCGATTGCAGGTATTAAAATAAAAAGAAAAATTATAAAAAATATCAGGAATCAACCAGTTTGAAAACTTCAAAATATTGAAAAATAAATAAAAATAAAAATTAAATGAGAAAATAAGATTCAAGAAGCCCAGGGGTAAAGAGTTTTATTCGACGCAATTACAAAAAAAAAATAAAATAAATAAAACAAGAAAATTAACAAATATAAATAATTTTCAAATTATTTGCAAAGAAGCTTTTTCACTACCGAAGTCAAACCAAATATGGCCAAGGGTTTTATTGATAAATAAATAATAGTTTTATAAAAAATGTAAAATTAAATGAATATAAGAGACCAGCCCGGTCCTTCTTGCACGTTCGGTTGAGAGATCAAGGTATTGAATAAAAAATAAAAATAAAAACTAAATCAGAAAAGAAGACGCAATGCACTCGTTGGAGATAATTGAGGAACCAAGGGATGTTAAAACAAAATTTTTAAAAAAAAATTTAAAAAAAAGAAGCCACAAATTTACAAAACACCAGTCAAGGTACAGTCCGAAACCTCTCCCCATAGGGTTGCAATTAAGACCCTGTTAGGTGCAAGACCGTTAAACTTCTCAGAATATATAAAAGAGTATATAAAAAATAATAAAAATAAATCATAAAATCAGCTTTTGAAAAAATAAAATAGGAAACAAAAATAAAATAAAAAGCGAGAAGTCAACGGCTTGGAGATCCGTTGACTACTGATTTGGAATGAAGGAACGTCGCCTTTTATACTCTTTTTGCAGCCTCTATCAGGGCCTACTAGTCTCGATTGGCAAGCGATAGGCAAGTATCGATTGTTCTTAGGGTTAGAACATAAAAAATTCAATAAAGGTAGCCCTGGAATATGTCTCTCATGTGAAATGTGATATTCCAAAAAAATCCAAAAAAAATTTTGCTCTCGGATTTAGATGCAGAATTACGGAGAATCCGTAATCCGAAAAAATCCGAAAAATTTAATAGTCCGGGGTTTTGATGCAGAATTACGGAGAATCGATCTACAAAACTTTTAAAGTATCCCGCTTGAGAATCGAATGAATATTAGCAGAGTTAGAGCCTTCGCAGGAGTCATACTCTCATTCCCGGTGTTTTTGAAGGGGACCCCCTAAGAATTTTGGAAAAAAATCTAAAAAATATTTTGCTCTCGGATTTTGATGCAGAATTGCGGAGAATCGAGCTACAAATCTTTTAAAGTATCCCGCTTGAGAATCGGATGCATATTGGCAGAGATATACCTTCTTGGGGGTCATACTGGCATTCCCGGGGTTTTTGAAGGGGACCCCCAAGGAATTTTGGAAAAAAATCTAAAAAATATTTTGCTCTCGGATTTTGATGCAGAATTGCGGAGAATCGCGCTACGAATCTTTTAAAGTATTCCGCTTGAGAATCGGATGCATATTAGCAGAGATATGGCTTCTTGGGGGTCATACTGGCAT